AACCCTCCCTAAACCCTGAACCTTAAACCCTGAACCGGGACCCTAAGCCCTAAACTCTGGACCCTAAGCCCTAGATCCTAACAGCCACCCAGGTCAAGCATCTCCTTCAGGAGGTCACTGAGACCGCCAAAGCGGCAATCAGTGCCAAGGGGAGTTTCAGCTCCTTGGCACGTTTAGGGTTTAGGGTTTAGGGTTTAGAGTTAAGGTTTTAGGGTTTAGAGGTTAGGGTTTAGGGTTTAGGGTTTAGAGTTTAGGGTTTAGCGTTTAGAGTTTAGGGTTTAGGGTTGTAATGAAGGCTTTGCTTGCACTGTGCACAGGAGCTTTGGAATGTGGAAGTGTTTTTTCGAGTAGTCTTTGTAAAACGTGTTGGGTCATTCCCCCTCCCAGTAACTGGCCTTAAAGGGGCCTGATTAAGGGGGTTCTTATAACTCCTATAACCCATTGTGGTAACAGTTACTGTAAGAGGGGGGAGGACCCCAAAAATGTGTCTCTGTGATGGCAGCCAGCTCCGGTCGCTGTGAAACTGCCAAGATATGGGCATGGATATTGAGTAATGTTTTATTTGGGCATGAGCCCTAAAACCTTAGCCCTAAACCCTGAACACTCAACCCTAAACCCTAAACTCTTGTTGTTGTGTTTCTGGTCTCTCCGCCGAGGCTTGTGCCTGGCAGCGCCTGTCATTTCAGCGCTGAAGGACCTGAACCCAGATTCGGTGGACTGGAGCAAGGTGAATGTCTTCTTCACGGGGGAGCCTTCCAGTTGTTATAGGGTTTAGGGTTTAGGGTTCAAGGTTTAGGGTTTAGAGCTTAGGGACGGTTGGGGGTTCGTGGTTTAAGGGGTATCCTCTAATTCTCAATGCTGTGTGGCATGCGACATGCAATCTGAGGCATTTGGGCGCAAACAAGGCATACACGGAAGCCCTGGACACATTCTGCCGAAAGTGCTCGGTGCAGTCACTCTTCTCTGACAGCTTTCTACGCTGTGCCTAATTAGACCTCCAGAAAAAAGTGGTTTATGTATGTATATATATATGTATATATATATATATGTAGGGCTTAGGGTTCAGGGTTAGCAGGGCATGAGGGAACATAGCCTTTTCCGCGTACGTTCTGGTTGTCATAGATTACACAACTGAGATGCCTTTGGGAGCTCCCCCACATCTGAGTCTTTGGGGGTTTAGGGTTTAGGGGTTATTTCTGGTTACATGGGGATTGTGGTCCACAATCATGAAAAATATCCCAGACAAGGTGCTCAGCCTAAACCCTAAGCCCGTTCATATGCTATATAGGGATTATGTAGGGA